TGACGAGCCAATGCTTTAACCACTAGGCTACCCCACGCCCCTGTGTTGAGGAGAGGCGACACACCGTTTATATTCCTAGCAAGCATGAGCATCGCTTCGGGAGTGTGGCCAACCTATGTTAATATGATGGAATTATCAGCCCGTGAATTACTCCCTACTCTCAAAATAGTATGATTTTGCATTGAATGAATGCATCATGATTCAACAATAGTTTATTTATTTTAAAACCAAAAGCATGCATAAATGAACGCTACAGTATGCTCGAGTCAACATTAAGACTTGCTGTTCAGTGTGGGAGTATCATGTTTCGGCTTAGGGTGTGTATTAAGGACAGTGAGGGAATGCCGTTTGTGTGTAAATAAAGAGCAATGGGGGTGAGTTCGAATCTCCAATGGATAAACTTTTATTTCTTAAATTCCTATTATTGATATATTTTATTTGTTTACTAGGAGTTATGTCAACCGTCCAGTGTATATGATATATTTGAACATTCACAAAATGAAACTTTATAGAAATATTAGTTTACTTGCCGATATTAAAGGGTGTACAGGGTTTAATTGTCTTTCACTGGATAACACTATTGTATATCTAGTGTCAGCATTAAGGTAACATTAACATGTACCTAAGAGTCAATAGGGTTTTGCCTTATTGTCAATCATAATGTATGAGCATGAACAGAATTGCAAACACAAAAACCGGACAATAACAACTCATTCACATTAATTCTTGGTGTGCATACATTACAGCACAAATCTGTAGACATTCTGCCACAAACAAACAAGAAAGATATACAGATTTCATTGTTTATTAGCTCCATTTCAAATGAGTAGACATTAGGATAGGAGCTCTCCCAAATATCTACTTTACATCTGTTGTGAATTGTCTTATTGCCCCTCCTCATCGTCCTGTCCAGATACTTCGCTGTCAGATGTCATGTCTTCTTCATCATCATCTTTAGTCAAGCCTTCACCCCCAAGATTTATATTGGTACAGTTTTGAAAACACGTCATGATACATATTATTCGTGTCTTGTACTCGTTTCAGTATTCCTTGTGGCTTTGGACCCCACTGCATATGATACAGATAAGTAATAAATCGGGCGTACGTCTCTTTAAATGTGCTCCAGATGAATTTCTTCAGTTTGGCTTGTATCATGTCTTTGTTTAAACCTCGTTTCATGTACAGCTGTCGTTTCTCATCCAAAAGTCTTTATTCAGCTCACGCATATGTGAATAAATTTGTCTTATACCTTGCTCTTCGAGATCAGCCATCTTATTTTTCCTGTTGCCGTGTGTGATATCACTTCATGATTCTTCATCATCATCATCATCATCATCATCATCATCATCATCATCATCATCATTTTTCCATTTCAGGACATTGTTTATCGTGTAAATGTCTTTGTAAGTTATGGTTATTGCTAAACACTGGACCACAATAATCACAATCTGGCAGTGGACGTGGTGCCTTCACAGGAGAGAAGTTGATGTAGTCCTCCCACTTCCTCTTCACCCACTGAGGACTTTACGGGACACCAGTTTCTTCTGTGTTTTTGCAAATCATGCACGTCTTGAAACATGAGTCCACAGTCATCACAAGATGCATGGTTGGGAAGTTTTCTTCACACATCTGCTCACGCTGAATGTCTAACTCACACTGAATGGTCCTAGCTTGGATGTCCCCTTTTAAACTGAATGCATTTGGACAAAGTTGCAGCTGGGGAGGTGTTTTTTTTTTTTAGATCAACCAACAAGTATCCATAAGGTTTCTGGGTAGCCCTTTGAAACGGCTCCATGAAATGGTCTGTGTAACCTGGATACATTTGCCTCGCCAAAGTCATGATGGGTTGTATATCGATGGGGTTGTTGAACAGAAGCAGATAATGACAGTTTCTTCGTTGTGTGGGATCGTTACTGAAATACAAATTCTGGTTCAAGGCTATCACTGAGAGATTACAATGATGACTTCCTTCAGTAAAAAGATCTTTAATGCGTGGATCTTTGCTGGCAGTAGACATTAAGTCGTCGAGGATAACAACATTCACCACATGGGGGTCCAGAAACTGATCCTTTTCCAGGTCAGAAGGAATGCCTTGATGAATTCCACATAGGGGTAAACAGGGGTTTGAGTGGTGTTATACAAGGGCTGCCATCGTTTGTAGAGCCATATAATACGTTCAAGATAAGGTTTAATGTTCATCCGTTCTAAAAGCTGCTTCACTAAGTAGGTTTTCCCACAGGAGGTGGGCCCTGAGACGATCATGGTAAAGGGATGTAGAAGCCTAAATTCTTCCAAAGCACCCACATGTGGCTGCATTGGTTGCATCATAGGTGATGGTACTTGTGGTTGTGGTGGTGCTTGTGGTTGTGGTGGTGGTGGCTGTGTTGCTCGTCTGTGTTGATTCCTGAGATGTCTAAGCATGGCATCCCTTCTGGAAAAGGTGAGATTGCACACGGGACACGTTGTTGACTGCATGGTGGTCCGAGTCTAAATGGCAGTGAACCTGTCTACTGGCTGCTTTTATCTAAAAAGTCGCCTTCGTTTCTTTGTGCGACTCTGAGAGGTAGTAATTATTTTGGCTTCAGTTCCCCCGTTCTCCTGCATCTGAATACGTGCTTTGGCCTTTTGAACGACTTGTTGGGTTGGAGACGTGAGTGCAAAAGTCTCTTTAGAATGGTGTAGGTCCATCTTTACCCCTTGTTTCTCATAATGGATGACATAATTACCAACGCTAGTAAAGGGATTGGGATATCCTTTAGCCTGCAAATAGTAATATTTGGTCCATTTCTTAAGGTCGTCCAGATAGGGTCTCCAATATCTACTGTTCATTTTCTTGTTCAGAATGAATACTGACTCACACAGAGGTGTCAGATGAAGCGTCACTATCACTGGTCCACGGCTAAATGAAGCTAAATCACCATTTCTGTCCTTTATATAGATATCCACAGTCTGTACATTTTTTCAGTTTGATGGGTACATAGACATCTCATAAGGAGGAGGACCACATTAACTATAAATGACACATAATGAAAACACATATGTATACACTAGCATATCGTTTAACCTTGGGTTGAAAGTAAAACGATTAAGAATATCATTCAGTGAATGTCCTCTGGCTTTCATCATCACATAAAACAAAGCATACAGTCCACAGGTTTTACTGTTTTTACTTTGAAGTATCCGTGTATCGTGCTGGAAAGAAGCACCATTCCTTTGTAGAAATGTGTGGAATGTCCTTTGATAATACTCAGGCTTTCTTCCCAAACTGTCAAAAAATTCTGTGTGTTTGATAATACTCAGGCTTTCTTCCAAAACTGTCAAAAAATTCTGTGTGTTTCGAATCTTGCATCCAAATAGCTATCCAGTGTTGTCCAGGTTGATAAGAAGCTTGGTTATTCAAAATGTATCTGATTGGCAGCAAGCACTTTGATTATCATCCCATAAGTAACACTGTCTTTGTTCAAGAGGTATTGTAGTTGTCGTGTATTCATGGTGTTGCTAATGTTAAGTGCTTCGTCCACTTAAAAATCAACTGATCCTTGCTGTAAATGAGACAGTTGATACCTTCCGGAAGCGCTGACTTAAAATGTAACTCCACATGAAGGTTGCCTTGTTTTAAGGTATTCAAACAGTTCCCTTCTATGCGTTTGGGTTCCAGCATAAATTGATAAATAGCATATCCCTTATTGAAATCTTTTCTTTTACTGGGAAAGTTCCGTTAACATTAATAACATTATTTTTTCCCACGGTCAGCTCAGTACAAGGTCATTGCCCCCTGTGAAATGAAGTCAGCCAGGTGTTCAATTAGGTTACCAAAAATGTTTTATACCCCCCTGTGTACAACAGCCGCTGCAGTCAGCCGATGCCGATATTGTCAACGTCGTCCTGATGATAGTGTGCAACAATGGATACAATAGACGTACAGAACAAATCGAGTCTGAATATCCACATGATAACTCAATAATGTTCTTGTCCAACAGTCACGCACCTGTCCGGGATACTGATGAAGGATTGTAAGTCGTCCTCCACCTAACTTAGAACATGGCCAAATCGGATATCGCTGTACATGTATGCGATACACGGCTCGTACAAACAGGACATCAAGCTTTCAAGGGATGACATTCGAACTCATGACCAAAGCGTTGAATGTTACATCACAACACAGCTGGTGCATCATGTTATTCAATGAGTCAGCTTGTTGACTTCACACTACATGTATATGACTCTTGTGGTCACTAGGTACGTTTGAAATATTTACTGGAAGGATTACATGTACACTTTCGAGATATTATGCACACAAAGAGTACCTCAGCGAGTATGAAAGGAAAACAGCGCTAAAAAAAAGAATACAAAATGCAATTTCAACAAAATCAAGTCCTGGATAACGCTACGCCCCATATTGAAGTTCTGACTCGCAACTTCTTACGTAACGCCGGTTGTGATGTCCATGACAGGAATTCTCGTTCCTAATCCAATGGAACACATTTGGGATGAGTTGGAATGTTTGACTGCGGAATAATCAACCCCAGACCTGACAAGAACTTAGGCCAGCACTCGTTGACCAATCGCGACGACTTACAGTTAGAGTGAACCGAGTGAATCTCCTGTGATTGTATTGTCTAGAGATGCTGTGTTTGGCGATGCAGTGTGTCACAGAAGGCGTAGGCAGATAGTTGTACATGAGTGTACACTCAGGTTTGGCTCATAAAAGATGATGAAAGTCTAGCTGTAAGTACCGTGCTCATCAAATTCAGAATGCGGTGGGGTTATTTGTTTTCCAAAAGTAATATTGTGTGATTAACTCAAAGGATTTCACAATATATCCAGTAAATATTTAAACAGTAACCCAAACGTATCCTGTCCCAGCCATCCAGACCCTCGTCAGGCATAATTATCTGGTATCATTCAGATCACATTCAGCTCTCTGCCCACATTGATAGCATCTTTTTGCAGCAGGCAGAGTGTGTCGTGTCATTTGGTCCTTCAGTTATCAACTCGAACACATCGAGCAGGGAGTCATTTGCAGCACTGGCAATTATCAGGCAGACAAAACACTTCCATCCTGACAGTACAGCTGCAGGTAAGCTCTACTATATGTACACATATCCTTGATACTGAGACACGTCCTATTGCGCATGTACCACTGACACTGGGATTCACCCTATGGTAAATCCATCACTGATACTGAGACACGTTCTAGGGTGCATGTACTGATCATATTGAGACACGTCCTATGGTACAGGTATCCCTGATACCGAGACACGTCCTATGGTACAGGTATCGCCGATACTGAGACACGTCCTGTGGTACATATGTCACTGATTCTGAGACACGTCCAATGGTACATTTATCCGAAATAGTGAGATGTCCTGTGGTACACGGATCTGTAATACTGAGGCACGCTCTGTGGTACATGCATCGCTGACAGTGAGAGACACGTTCTATGATACATGTGTATCCCTGATACTGAGACACGTCCTATTGCGCATGTACCACTGACACTGGGATTCATCCTATGGTACATCCATCACTGATACTGAGGCAAGTCATATGATACATGTATCGCTGATACTGAGACACGTGCTATGGTACATGCATCATTGTTAGTGAGACACGTCCTGCAGAAACTCTTTCTATGTTACATGCATATGAACCGCTGAGACATACCCTATGGTACATGTATCACTGAGACACGCCCTATGGTACATGTACCCCCGATGTTAAGACACGTCCTATGGTACATGCACATGTACCGCTGATATTGAGACATAGCTGTGTGGGTTTCTTACTTTTATCTGCCTTGGGGACTAAGGGGTTCAAATACAGACACAGGTCTTTTTATATACCAACCCTTTAATCAGGTAACACAATTTTACGATTGACGATATGCATAGATGTTTACAGGATATATCTGAGATATTCCATCTTCATGTCATAACACAAGCATTGTGGTTTACATTGCACAATTTTCGGGATTATGTACAATCGTCGACCCTTTTCAAAGAAGATTTATGAAAAACCGTCATTTGTCACTTGTTTTCAAGTTTGATCAGGGTTATAGCATTCAATGACTCACTCCATTTAGAAGGAATGAAGTATGATAAACGAATGTGACAGTTCTGTAGTGAAGGGTGACATACGCATTCCTTTAGACGGCGAGGTCAGGCGTGTTTGTCAGTTGCTCTTGTCAAATTCCATTTATTAGGGTCTTATCAGGATCTATCATCAAGGTATGTTTAAATTACGTTGCGTTTGTGTGTGTGTGTGTGTGTGTGTGTGTGTGTGTGTGTGTGTGTGTGTGTGTGTGTGTGTGTTGTGTTAGAGCAGTCCTAGTCTGTTGCTCAATACCCTCGATAGGACAACGTCAAGCAGTCATTTTGGACCAATATGATTCGAAACTAGGAACCTGCTTCCTGGAAGTCTTATCGCAGAGGTGTTAATTCAGTATGTATGAGTATCAGTGGTGTCTGTAAAATATTTAAAGCTTTGTATTCTGGTGTTTGTAGGATATTAGAAGAGGACGTGTAACTGGAATCGGTTGGACGTAAGACGTGACTAGTAGGGTATATTAGTGTATATACATCGGATCTTGTCACAATAAATCGCCACAACCGTTCACACCGGATGAAGATTCCATTATCTGCTCGTCCCTCTTCATGAACTTCACTCTGTAACATGTCGAATTTTGGGTTAGTTTGATTTCACTGTTTACACAGGATCTAAAATGGCTGACTCTGCGACTGTTTTCCATGGCACGTTCGTACACTCAACAAAGGAGGAAGATATGGTGATTCACAGCGATATGGTCATTGGAGTGAAGCGGGGCAAGGTAGGTTTGTTAAAAAGGGAAATATTCATTTTTTCCAATCTTGAGACAAACAATCTTTAGACTTTTTTGCTGCACAATCTTGGAACATGAAATTATACACATAGATAAAAGTATCGCAAAACCTATGATTTTAATACCCATATAGCCGTTATAATCATACAATTATGACTGTTGGTATAAAATTTAGATCCTTCGATGCACCATGCATTGATTTTACATATGTTCGCTAGCATCGAAGGCTATACGTGTACCCGTTATTTAGGAAATATTAAGTTTCAGCTGACTGTTCTCACAGCTCGGCAACTTGTAATATCACTTTCGTTGTTTGTTGATAAACATATATGGGGCCTCAACTGACAACTGCGCAAAGATAGCAAGTTATTGGTATGCGGGATGCTTGCATGTCACTGAGGGCTATTGTAAGAGATGATGGTTGTCATCTATGGACTGTCAGCCGATTGGCCAGGAAACATCACCAAACAAATGACATTAAGAACCGACAGCGACAGGTCGACCACGAGTGACAACTCTGACGGCACTCTCCTACCCAGAGTTCCATGGGGCAAGCCAGCATAGTATCTCTGCCACAGGCCAGAAAAATGTGACGATTCGTCACATCTTGCACCGTCCATTCAATATAATGTACAGATTTCTTTCACTCTTTCATTTTTGACGAGTCTACACATCTAACTAAACATCTTTAATAGAATGGTTTAGTTTCACTGAGAAAATATCCAAAAACATGTAACACTATTTCGATTTGCGTAGCGATTCCTTGTTTACATAGGTTGTTCGGCTCCACGCGCTGTCACCGAAGCTAGTGGAGAGCAAACGATGCAGCCAGTTTGATATCTAAATATGTACTGTCATAGACCTTACTGTCGCAGTTGTGGAAGAATATATATGTAACAATGTAAAACATTATGAAGAGAGCGCCGAAAAGCTTTCGTGAGTCCAGTCTCTTCTTATTATGAATATGCGCGTTTGATTACAAACAAGAGAAACGTCCGGTCACGTGATATGTAAATTAGCCTGTGGCAGTGATGTTGTTAGTCATCACTGTGCCGGAGCGTGCTCTGAGGGAGGAAAGAGCCCTTCTCAGAAACGCACGACTTCATTCGTTCATGGCAGTTGTTATGTTGAAGTGAGTGACTGCCACAAAAGAACTATCTGAAATCGCTTAAAATTGACCGAGTATAGAGCCATATACCGATCAAACGCAGAAACACTACCCATGCAAAACGGAATGTCTTGGAGCATCTAGTGTTTGTTGGGGGTTCATTGGTGGTGTAGTGGTCGCTCTCACATGACTGTAAAGCTGACCTTATGATGATCAGGCAGAATCGGAATGGACAACAGGTACCTAAACGACATCCTAGACAGGGTGGTTGTACCACTTTTCGATGACCATCCATTGAAGACAAGGCCAGTTTTAATGGATGGCAATGTTAGGCAATAGCTGATTTCTTACGTCAAGAGTTGGTAGCTATAACTTCGCCCGCCAGGAATCCAGATCTCAATCCCCTACAGGACGTTTGGGGCATGGGTAACAGAATATGCCAAGATCCTCCAGTACAAATTTGACGTATTGGAACAAGCCCGCCTTCAGAAATGGAATGCCATATCTCGACGTCATTTTCAAAGTCTGGTAGTCAGTGAGGAGAGGGTCAGTAATATTTCCACGTCAAAATAGACAAATACCACATCATTCATCTTTTCCCCTTAATAGAATATGTTTGCCGTTATGTTGTTATCGCAACTAAACTGGACACACTTATCAAAGAATAGGCTGCAAGGTATTAGGCAAAGGGCCGATCACTATGACATGTTGGTTTCTCCACTTGTCCGAGCTGAGTGAATGAGGTCTACGCAGCACTCAGCAGTATTGTAGCTATATGGCGGCGGTCTGTAAATAATCGAGTCTGGACCAGACAATCCAGGGATCAACACTATGAATATCGATCTTCGCAACTAGGATACGATGACATGTGTCAACCCAGTAAGCGAGCCTGACCACCCGATCCCGTTAGTCGCCTCGTACGATAAGCATGGGTTACTGAAGATCAGTTCTAACCCGGACCTTCACGGGTCGAGTCAACTGGCAATACATGGGGAGATGTGTCCACTGGAGAAAGTAGAAGACACCTAAATGAATAAAACACTCTACAGATTACAGAGGCTTAGTAAAGCGAAAGCTAGGAAGAAAAGCAGTTTTGGTAGGATCCTGATATGCCTAGTACTCTTGCAGGTGCTTGGTAACAATCACCGGTCTGTTATTGCGCTTTTAGGTATTTCCTAGTTAATAACAAGACTATAATACTCCGTAATTGTACCTTTGATTGCAAATTAAACTGTTTCTCTCTGTTGATGACCTGTTTCTGAGCTAACATGCTGTTGTGTCATTAATGGCAATAATATCTGCCATTCGTTTTTTCACTTTGATTTGATTGGTGTATGGCTAATAGTATTTTGGATAGGGCAGTGTATACTTCTCCTGGACACGACCACCTGCCACAGATTTAAGTGATCCATTCACATAATTTATACCACAATATCGTCTTTTCCTGCCAACGTTACCTGTTGAGTTATTCTCTGACGTTTACGAGATATATTTACATAAAGCTCGGACCGATTAAAGTTATTCCAATCAGGACGTGAAATTTGGACCATATTATCAACAATGGGTTTATGCATTGCGTATGCATTCACATGCTGTTTTTGTAAGGAAATGTTAAATGAGTGCATTGACATTTTCAAGTAGGTGCTTTCATTTGGCGCGGAACTGGGGTTAATGTGTTCAACATCCTGTACACGGAAAGGAAATTTGATAACCAAGCCAAAATTTGTGGGTTTTTTCATTGTGGCTTTAAAGCCACGCTATGCATAAATATACATTTAATGGCCAGTAACGGCCTGGCTATCTTTTCCTTTTTAAGTCTATGGGAAAACATTTGGTATTGTGTAACCTGTAGGGTGTTGAGGGCTTTGGGTTGAAATGTTGTCTGTATTTTACTGTTTTGCTTTGCATCAAGGTTTTTCAATACTACATTGTTTCTTACAGATTTAGAAACATTGAAGAAACTAAGATTATCACATGTGTTACTGCTTTTGTCGTCGGTATTAACGAAGAAACTACGCGAGTAGCATTGACGGCGACATCGTTTTTCGCTGTCTCTGTTCACTCGTTAGGCTGTTGAATACTTGCCCAGGTGGTCTCCGGTGTCGTGGTGCTAATTTTGTGTATGAATATGTACCTCCGTTTGTTTCAGATCATATTCATCGAACATGAAACATCTCTTCCCGATCTGATGAGCGAATACAGTGTGCCACGTGACAACGTTCGACATCTGGAAAAATGGTCAGTGAACTCACATACTGTACCCTTAATGTTCCTGTAAAATATATCGACATGGGGAGGATATATAATATTTATTTCCATATACTTTAACCATAATTCATACTGATGCATTTTTATAAAATAAGTTAGAGCTTCTGTGTTAAAAGAAATATGTGTAGGAAGAATACTAACTATAATATTGAGGAAAACCTTTCAGGGATGATTGTAACATTCTGTGTGTGGTGTGTATGTCATATGCCATGAGTATGAGTGATTTTGGTCAGTATATGTGGGTGTTTTGAAGTCAAACAGGTAATATGAAATGTGAAACTGACATCAGTTGATTTCCCCTGGTGATAGGTTCAGATTTATTTTTTGTTTGTGGTTTTCGCCACAGTCAGAAATATTTAATATTTTTAGCAGCATCACTGACGCTTGTCCATAAGGTGTAAATCACTTGCAATAAACCAAGTCACCAAGACCGACGACTCTATCTGTACAGACTGATGGGGACCAGATTCTATTCCTTAATCCGCACTACCTCTGATTTCTACATCACAGGCAGTTTCTAATCCCTGGGTTGGTGGACACCCACATCCATGCTCCACAGTACACGTTTGCCGGCTCCAACATGGATCTACAGCTGTATGACTGGCTAAACACCTACACGTACCCAACTGAAGCTAAGTTCAAGGACCTGACCTACGCCATGGATGTCTACAGCAAGGTTGTGGTAAGTCTCAGCAATTGTACTCATCTGATTTTGATTGTTGAAACGTCAGTATTAACGGCAATAACGCAACGCTACACGTCGCAGATCGCACCGTCAGTTCTGTACATTAAATGTCACTGCAGTTCGTAACGTCGATGCCGTTTTACATGTTTTAAGGAACATCACTAGCGATATTAATATTTCAGCTCTATTATTCTGCATGTTGTTATAACCATTATAACTGTACATTCCACAGGCGTAGTAATCAATATGTATGGTATAAACTGTAACGGTGTAAAGAGTTTGCCCGAGAGACTGATATCATGAGCATCGATCTACCCAACTGGAATACGATGACATGCATCAACCATGGCCGTGGTTGTGAAAACACTATCCTGTTTGTCGCCACTTAAAACAAACGTGACTAATCACTGAAGACTAGTCCTTCCATAGATCTTAGAAGGTAACTGCAATGTTATGATACGGCCGAAGACAAGTTTAAACTTTTTGAACAATCATTTGATGTAATATTCTTGAAAATTTCAAGAAGTGACTTTTCTTAATTCATTTTCACAGGATCGAACTCTGAAGAACGGAACAACGACTGCATGTTACTATGCTACATTACACAGAGATGCGACAAACCTGCTTCTTCAAGTTATTGGTTAATACAGTTCCCTGATTTCCCCAAAGTGAAAGATGGGTTATGCCATAAAACATGGACGCAGACTAAAACCCTTCATCTTAACTTTTTTGCAGTATTAAGCATTCGAATGCATTAAATTATTATTGACGGTATTCTTATGCACCTTCCACCACATTGATGACTGAGAAGGAAAATGACGACGAACCAACTACGAGAGCCAAGTGCTATTGATGTCAATGCCATACTTCCAGGGGACCGCCTCCTTGGTGTAGTCGTTAGAGCGTCCGCCCGGAGAGCGGAAGGTCGCGGCTTAGATCCCCGGTCGCGTCATACAAAACGACGTTAAAAATATGGTATTGTTGGTCCCTGCTTGGCGCTCGGCACTAATGGGTACAACAAGGACTGGTCGTCTCGGAGTCAGAATAATGTGTCTGAGTGGGGTATTCCTGCTTCACTGCGGTATGGTATCTCAGTGGGCTAGCACTACAAAACCAGCTTAAGTCTGGGCTAGTACAAGCAGCCTAACATACACACGCATGCACGTCGTCATATGAGCGAAATATTCTCAAGCACGACGTTAAACCCAATTTCACCTCACTTCCAGGACGTTTCGCCAGGCATATAGGGTGACGAAAGTCATTTCATTTGCAAGGCATGCATACCTGTACAAATTAAAGCTGCCATGTTGAACGGAGAGTCATTCACTTTAATTTGGCTAACATATTTGTTAAGGTGAAAACATGGCTAAAACATTTTACGCGTCTGTAACAAGACCGACCTTCGTTGCAATTCCATCATTCCTATGTCCAGGTGAACACTTTGCCGTCGGTGTTTGTGATGAGTGCTACTTGTCGGGCAGGATATGCTAACCTTTTCGTGAACACCCGAAATCATCACTATTTCTTTTTCACAAATAGTCCCTGGTATGGTGATCTACCTTCAGTTATTGGCGATTTATAGCCCATTTTTATACTGTATTGTTTTTCCCCTATAGTTTAAACGTTTTAGATTTAATTACTAGTTTTACATAATATCTGTGATATTCTAGTTGTTTTACTGTCCTTCGTCGGCAGGTTTTTTATAATATACATATATTTCATTTCAATATCAAATGTTCTCGTCACGATAAATTAATAATAATATTATTAAATATTAACTCACTCACTCACTCTTTCACAAATAAACCTTGTATTACTATTATCCGTTAAATGGAATCCACAGCTAGCATATAGTTGTTCGGGTACGGAAATATTTTGGTTAACTTTTATTTACAGAGAAAGCCGGACAGAGAGCCTATGTTGGGAAGGTAAACATGGACTGCCGCACCCCCTCCTTTTACCAGGAAACCACGGAAGAGTCGTTGGAAGAAACAGAGAAGTAAACCCGTTCTATTACATGCGATAGAGTGTAAAGTACTTTGAGCTAGCCCGTGTTTTGACTGTAAAAACTAGTGTTGTTGCCCGTGTTTTTAATTGTAAATAATAATGTTCTAGCCTGTATTCTTAATTGCAAATCATATTGTTCTAGTCCGTGATTTATTTGTGAATAATATTGCACTTGCCCGTGTTTTATTTTTAAATAATATTGTTCTTGCCTGTGTTTCAAATTGTTAATTATATTGATCTAGCTCGTGTTATAATTGTAATTCATACTGTTCTAGCCTGTGTTTTAAATTATAAATTATATCGAACTACCCCATGTTTTAATTGTAAATACCAATTTTCTCGCGAACACCCGGTGTCACAACGGGTTATCCTTCATAATATTTTCGGGTCATTTCTTCATAATGTTTTCCTTGCTAGTTTTCCTTTGGCATTCAGATTATTCTGTTTCGGCGAATAACCAAGGCTGATTATTCACGTTTTGTATTCACCATCCACCACTACCATATATGTTTTTCAGATTTGTCGAATCAACTATATCCAAAAAGGTAATGGTGAAAATTTAATACATTTATACTTCACTAAATCCATGTTTCTTTACATAAAGACGTACGTTTATTTGGCATGAACAAAATTAACCTTGTCAATTTTGTTTGCATATTATCAATTGAATGATGCGTCAATCTTAGCATACTGAAACAATAGACACAGTGATTATGTATGAACAAAAACTCTTTGTCGTTTTTCCCTAGAACCCATTGGTAACACCAATAATAACACCAAGATCCATTGGGACAAGTTCGGAAGAACTTCGTACGTCCCTTGGCCAACTGAGTCAACAGTATCAACTCCCAGTTCAGGTTAGTTAACTGCTCTAATGAGTTATAATGGTGGTGGTGGTGATGACGACGACGACGACGACGATGATGATTCTCTTTGCCTACATTGAATAATACATCTATTTTAGTATACCGAAGGTGTTTACACTGATTCCCACAACCTACTACATGTAGTAACACCAATAACTACAGTTAGAACCATTGTGAAATGTCGGGAAAACGTCTAATGTTCCTTGGCCGAAAGGCGCTAGCAGCCATACTCACTCACTTATCAAAACCTTTTTATCAGTTTTTAAAGTGCCTTATTCAAACCAGAAAAGTCGACAAAAATTACTTCATCAACAAGAAAGCAATAGCTGGGACAGGTTTGGTGGAGCCTTATGAACTGGCAAACTTTACATGAATTGTCAAATTTGTTTGCAGACCCATGTTCTAGAAACCAGGGGCGACTTGGCCACTTTCGACCATCTCCACGTATGGGACAAAGCTGGCCTATTGAAACACAATGTAAGATAAAGCCGCAGTTAGCTAACGTCAATGTCAGTAACGAGAACATTACGTTTCTTGATGGGTTTCTACACAACACGTTCCTCCATCAACAGTCAATGTATGCAGGTGATTAAAAATGTGTCTATTTTTAGTCGAGTAATTAAATTAGGCCGTGTATTGCACTACCAGGGCATAACGGCCTACCCCTTAAGCTTAAGCTCACGCAAATACACGCACGTACACGCACACACAATGTGTGTGTGTGTGTGTGTGTGTGTGTGTGTGTGTGTGTGTGTGTGTGTGTGTGTGTGTGTGTGTGTGTGTGTGTGTGTGTGTGTGTGTGTGTGTGTGTGTGTGTGTGTGTGCATCCAAACTAGTACAGGTGTTCAGTCATAAATATCAGATAGATAATTAAAAACAGAATGCCTTTTTCTCCAACATGTTTCGTCGTTTACTCTTCAGGGAGATTGTTATTAACTGTCTGATATATATATATCAGACGTCATTCACGACGTCACAAGGGCCTACGCCAAACGTGCATAACGTTGTCCGACATTAATCTTACACACACACATATTTATATCAGGGATTATAATCAGTGATGATGTATATTAATGTGTGTATGTGATGCTACTTTAATTCCGCGAACTGTTTACGTGAATAATCATTGATTGTAATCCCTGGCATAGTTTTAAGGATACCGGTATGTTGTATTTCGAAAGTACTGCTTATAAATTCAGTGATTATTTATCAGACAGTTTTAGCCCATTGTGTCTACATGTCAGAGGTGCAGCTCGACCTACTCAGACAGCGCGGTTCCGGCATAGCCCACTGTCCCAACTCCAACATCACGTACGTAATGCTATATACAAGAGTACATGTCACCTAACATCACGTATGTGCCACTATGAAATGGTAAATGTTACTTAACGTCTTGTATGTGGTACTATACCAGGCTACAGGTGACCTAGCACCACAGTCGTAGACATTTTTACTGATCTTAACCTCAGTTCGTGTTGCATGTAAACATTTAGGAACAAACCAATGAATACAAAACCATCTCTATAAACTTGGCGAACTTCATTACACTGAGTTGAGCAACACATATGTGTCAATGGTCAACATGCGGGACCGCATAACATTACAGACACATAATAAATTCCCCCTTTTATACCATAGGGTGTATACAATTCCACAAACCAATAATTACTACTGGGTAGTGGTTGGGTTTTGAAACCGACTGCGCCATGCTTGCGTGCATATGTGAACTAAGGGAGTAAACTCTTGCTGAGAACTAAGGGAGATAACCCTTGCTGGAAGAAGAACACGTAAATTACCATCCGTTAAAATACATTTATATGCAAAATAACACTGTAACGGTGAGGCTGCAAGAGACACATGCCCTTGCAGTTACAATGCTCTCTTTTACGAAGTCATTAACACCAGACTGTCCTGCATTTCTTTGGCTTCTTCTACTATATTATGCTAACTAGGATTATCACATTGTTTTCCAGGTTAAGAAGCGGTTTTCTTGATGTAAGGAACGTGCTGGCAAAGGGCTGTAAGATTGGACTTGCAACAGGTATATAATGCCAACCGATTACAAACAGGCGTCTCATAAATCAATAAAATAGAAAGATATAATAGAAAATGGTACGGGAGTGTTGAGAGAAAGATTTTGATGGGATATAAAGCTGAGAACCCTGAATATTCACTTCATTAATATTTACCCACTTTTTTCTGTTTTGGTTCGGTTTGAGGTCAAAGTGTGACCTCATCATTTCCATCAAGCCAGTGTTTGAAATCATAAGCATCGATCTATGATTTGGGATGCGATGACATTTGTCAACCAAGTCAGTAAGCCTGACCTTCCGATACCTTGAAAATAAGCGTCTGTTGCTGAAGACCAAATCTAACATGGATCTTTTAACTGGTAGGGATTGTCGTGACAGAGAAGGATTGCTGCGGATACATACATATGTGTACTAATTAAAATGTCGATAATGCCTTCTTGGTTTTAGCTTTAATTGTTGTGTTAGTGAGTAAAACCTGCACAAGCATTAACTTTAAAAAAGCCGGCATGCGCCATCGCAAAAAAGAAATACTTTTGGGGCATTGAATACTCATGAGCTACACCTTTAAACCTGAACACTAGTACTCATAATAGTTATCTCATGAGATGTATTTAGACCTTCGAATCAGAGAAGATCCGACACTAAGATTGTTAAAATCTTATGACTTCGAAGTAGTATAGTTTAGTTTGTGTACATCTTGTTCTGCGACACAGCACGTGTTCCGTCACTGACCACTATCAGCTACGTACACCATGTTCTGCGACACAGCACGTGTTCCGTCACTGACCACTATCAGCTGTGTACACCTTGTTCTGCGACACAGCACGTGTTCCGTCACTGACCACTATCAGCTGTGTACATCTTGTTCTGCGACACAGCACGTGTTCCGTCACTGAAGTACCCCTATCCTCTTCAAATGGTCACTTATGTAATGTCATGTATAAATGTCGAAAAAATAGAATCACGGTTTATTTTTCATAAAATAAATTTATTTGATACTATTTCTTTTCAGATGTTTCTGGCGGATACAGCAGCTCAATGTTAGATGCACTTCGCTCTGCTTCTCAAGTCTCGAAAACTATCGCAATACAACGTGAGGAAAGGGGAGAGAACTACAAAATGCTGTCATACAAGGAACTATTTCGCCTTGCAACATTAGGCGGAAGTGAAGGTTCGAAAATTGTTTGTATTTTTCATTTTTGTAGTTTATTAGACCATTAAATACGTATTCCAAATTATTGTTATGTATATTTATAAATGAATATTTGCATCGTGGATCTGAGCATCAGTTAATATATTTGAAAACAAATGTGAAACGTTAAAGCTGAAATAACCTGAACGTGAGACCAAAGATGTTCTGGCGCTTCGGGGAATTGACTCTTAGCAACTTCCTACTATATGGACAATAATTTTAGCGCAATAGGCATCATTTGGTCGGACTCAGTGGAGCTCCATCAGGCTGCCTTGAGTGTAGATATTGTATTAATGGGCATGTTGCATCGTTCATTTAGCCTTGAAGGGCCCCTCCTGTATTTATATCAAAATCAATCTGTTACAGCGTTATGTGAGATATTAAGCAGATATCGGCTATTTGTTCTAGTAATGGGACTGGATGAGACAATAGGGAACTTTCAAGTCGGAAAGGACTTTGACGCCATCGTGGTCGACCCTCTTGTGGAGAACTCTCCTTTTGATGTCTTCTCTACCGATACCTTCTCCGACATCATACAAAAGTTCCTCTTCTTAGGTAGGTAAAACTATAGGAAGAAATTATTTGTGTGCAGCCTAATCAGAAATGAATGAAATATTTGTTATTGCCACCCAGTTGGCAGTACGGTGACACATTACAGTATGTACATTATGTTTGTATCTCCGTCTTCTGCGAAAGTCTACTCAGGTGGCATACATGCCAGTGTTCAAATGTCATAACAACGACGTAGTTATAAGGAACGTGCATGCATGTGTTGAAGGGACCACAGTCAACGTGTAGTTCGCGTTCATGTGGACATACAACTGAAAAACAAAAGACGTATTTTCTCTTTTGCAACACATATCAGCACATCCATACCTTGACAACTGTTTGATGACCTAATCTGCAACAGCCCTTGTCTCCCATGTCTATGTCTCGGCTCGATCTAGTTCTTGAGATAGCGAAGAAACAGACGAGATGTCTCTTATACGTGACGTCTTTTACAGATGTATTTATATTTTAATAGGTGATGACCGCAATATGATTGATGTCTTTGTGGCTGGGACTCGGGCTTCTGGACGCTGATATTCGAGGAAGATTATACATATGCATGTTCTGTGTTTTAACGTCAACGGGGTCTACGGAAATAATTACAATGTACACTGTACAAGAAAAGGACTATTATTACAGACAGCTCGCCCACCATGCCCCAATATGGAAAGGTCTCCACCTGTGACTTTCAGTGTTTATTCGTACGGAGATAGCCACAGATCTAACATACAGAAGTCATAAGAGCGACAAAATCATTTTCGTATCATTGGGACATCTCTCATATCCGACACTATCATGAGCAAGCGCCAGTCAACATTAAATATATGTGATAGCAGGTGTTTGCGAAAAGGATTTTAATGGGCAGTGTGACGGAGGTTTCATTTTGATATACCTATGCCACATGTTAGCAGATTCAATGTTCTATTGATTTTATAAAAGTCATTTTCGCGTCCTGAAGAAATTGTTTTGTGGTGGGGAAGCTGACTGGATGATGATGGATGACGTTCTTAAAAAGGGCTATAACTCTCCTTCTGAAGTGATACAAGCGACGCCCCAACATGTCGCATCTGGCCTCAGACCACAATTATTTTCCTTCTTTGCTATCTACAGTGACATGCCAGTGCACCATAATTAATATTGGTCGTAGGCTGTTCCCCTGTTGCATGCTGACCAACCTGCCACTTGTCCCTTAATCGGCAAAATATGGGCCTGGATCGACCATGTCAATTTTGCTGTATCCACTGTAAACAATGGTCACCGGAAGTTACGAGCCGAAACACACTAGACAGCCTTGAACTTGGGGTCAAATCAAGGAAGGCTGGTGTCAATACCATGAGTAGATTGTGGACCAAAAGAATTTTGCAATAAAGTACAATGTCTTACCTTTCATTTAAGCTATCACAAGTCACCCTGAAAAAATTAACACAAACAGAACAGCCCATTTAAACAAGGCACTATATTCTCATATTTTACTTCCGGGTCATGGTAAAAGTTAAGGGGGGGGTAACTGTGGTCTGAGGCCATCTTGTCATGTTCCATGCTCCACGTGCACTGCGACAGCTTGTAAGACGGAGAGAAGGCTTCATGCTGAAACGGTACCATGTCACAACTTGCAAAACGAAAACGGCTCTTAACAAATGAACATCGTCCTGATTTGTAGTGATTGTTTGATATGAATGCAAATATTTCTGTAAAGGTGCGCGTGTGCGTGTGTGTGCGCCTATATGTGTTTCATGACAAACCCCAAATTAGAACAACAGGGTCCTAGCTTACTGAAACACAATGCACAGGTTCAACGTGTATTTCCCATATCAACACAATTCTACTGCAGACGATCAATTTAATCTTCATTATCATTTGAACTATCATGCTTTTCTGTTGTTCCACCGTCTCGAAGGAATAAGTCTGTCTCCAGTTCGCTTGTAACAAATAAGTCAGCCACAACACAGAGACCAACGTGGCTGACACGTAAATGATAGAGTGAGTAAGTGATGCTTTACGCCTCTTTTAACAATGTTCCAGCAACATCACAGTGGGAGACACATGAAATTTGGTTCTCATTATTGTACCCATGTGGGGAATCGAACCCGGGTCTACGGCGTGATGGGCGAACGCTTTAACCACACTAGGCTACCCCACCGCCAATGTAAACGTTGAATACAGCACTGTGTGTAAAACAATAAATGTATAAACGCTTGAGAACCCGTGAAGATCCGGGTTAGAATTGGCCTAACCCATGCTTGTCGTAGGTGGCGACGAACCGGATCAGGTGGTCAGGGTCGCTGACTTCGTTGGCACATGTCATCGTAGATCGATCGTCATGTTGTTGATCACTGGGTTGTCTGGTCCAGACTCCATTATTTACAGACTTTTGTCATATATACTGAACCGCATAAAAACGCAAGTTTTTCAAAATGAATAAATATTCGACAGAACATTGTTAAATGTTATAGTGTAACTACATATTGGTTACCTTTGTTGTAAAAAAACAGTTTGTTAGTGTTCAGGTTCTGTTTGTGATTTCTCTTGGATATTGCACATCTCCAAAACGCAGCAATCGAATTGGCCGTGGGATGTTGTTGCAGAAGTTTTTCATGAAAATCATGATGCGCATTATGTCACGGACACATAGGGGTATAAAAATGCCCTCAAATCAGTTTGTAATCTCTCCCGACAAACGCCCACCAAGAATGCCAAGGTTAACGACGCAACAGAGGGAACAAGCCATCGGCCGTCTTGAAGCTGGACAGAGTGTTGCAGATGTTGCCAATGCATTCCATGTGCACATAACGACCATTTACCGTCTTCAGGAACGTTTTGCAGCTACAGAGACCACGGCTGACCGCCAACATCCTGGACGTCCCAGAATCACAACACCACGGCAAGATCGACACATTCAACGTTCGCACATCGGGGATCGATTCTTATCTGCCAACGAGACTGACCGACAGACTATTGCACGTCACAACCGAGCAACAAGCGGAGATACAGTTCGGCGCAGACTCAGAGCAGTCCACCTCCGTTGTCGTCGTCCAGCTCGACGTCCTATCCTCACACATGAGACATCGTCAGAATCGTCTGCAGTGGGCTACGTTGCATCGAAACTGGCTTCAACAACAGTGGAGACTGGTATTGTTCTCTGATGAAAGTCGGTTTTGCATTTATCATGGCGTTTAAATATGGCGAAGACGAGGTGAACGCTTTGCTGTCGAATGTGTAATGGAAGAGATGCATGGGGAGGTCCGAGCGTTATGGTATGGGCAGCGATTGGCCTGAATCAGAGATTAGGGCCTGTATTCTTCCAGAATATTGAGCCAGGTCGGGGAAATGGAGTCACTGCCCAATGTTATATCGACCAGATCCTCCGACCCCAGGTTGTGCCATTTTGCGTCCGACACAAGCAACACATTTACCAGCAAGATTATGCCAGGCCCCACACTGTTAGAGTCACTCAGGCATTTTTCCAGCAGCATAACATCCGACTGCTGCCATGGCCTGCTGTCAGTCCCGATTTAAACCCGATCGAACATTTTTGGGACGAGCTGCAGAGACGACTGAATGAAGTCCGACCACGTCCGACAACTGCAGCAGAACTCCAGGCAGGCATCATCCGGACATTTGCGGCAATCCCTAGGGCCTTTGTCAACCGTCTGATTTACTCCATGTTCAGGCGGTGCACAGCTGTAGTGAATGCACGAGATGGACATACGCGCTACTGACTTGTTGGATCAATTTCGATTTTGTCTTCAATGCAAAGTAAACCAACAATGTTTCCATGCATTGACTGACATGGCCCGATCATCATGCAATAAGTGTTGATTGTTATTATGTACCTGTGTTCATGCATTATCTGTCAAAAGTAAAGTTTTTCTAAATCTGGATTTTGACTTGCGTTTCTTTTGCGGTTCAGTATAGTTGGAATATTGCGGCGTTAAACACCAAACAAACAAACACTCTTAAGCCACAAAAAAGGTAACGCTATTAAAATTGTATTTACTTGTACTGTGGTGAAAACTACAAACGACTTTATAAGTGCTGCAGTAAGCTGGGCTACAGGTCGCTATGAACAGTATTGCAGTTGTATCACGGCGTGTCAGCGTGGTGTTTGAGGAGAGTCCGTGTGATGCAGGTCTTAGATATTCACCAGTTTGATGAGCACGATTGTGGTGCTTATTACCGCGCCCGTGCACTCTGTTCAGCGTATCAGCATGATGTTTGAGGAAAGACTGCCCAAAAGACAACTCTGCACAGATAACTCCAGCGACTTAGCCAAATGGGCCACCCTTTACGGTCCCTTCCAAGTGATATGGGGAATCTAATCTACATAGTAAATCTTCAAATGTATACATTTTTATCCAGGGAAATGAAATGACTAGACATGATATAATACTAAGTAATTCAGAGAGTGGACACGTATATTATCAATAGAATAACAATCACTATTAGCGTAAACCTAACTGGGCATCTAGCAGGCCAAAATGAAATGCATCGCTTCAAATACAAAGACAATAATGAAACGCGTCCTGTTCAGTTTGTGGTATCTTTTCCCAACTGACTAGACTCGCATATAGAGAGACATATCGATGTCACTACAGTCATAAACATATCTTCCTTTCTTGTTATTGCCACTTGGACAGCGGGGGGCAGCTTGTTACCCTGTGTATGCTGCGTAGCTACCGAAGGAGACAATTCGGTCGGAGTAAGGGCAACAAACTCCGCCAGCCTTCTCGCTCAGTTTGGACTACCTTTCCTCATTGTGTTTCACGGTGAATGATAAATCTTAAATCGTGTGCTTCATAATTTCACAACACATCCTTATTGCTGATCGTTCAACATACAAGCAACTACGATGTTGACATTAACATTATCAGGCGGCTCAGTTTGGAATATTCTTACCAACTTCAAAGTAATGGAAAATGAGCATACACTTTGTCCCTCAATGCACTCACTCTCAGAAACATTATCGCCGAATTCATGACGTCATCGTACGTTCGAATTTCCAGAAATAACGTCATGATAGAGCAATGTTAGGACTTGAAACAAACCACGCTTCGTTCTTCATATATTTTAGAGCTGTTAATATTGTATTAGCCTCTGCTGTAAAAAAAATAAACAAACTGACTTGTATATACCTGTGCCAATTTACAGATGGCATGAAAATTTACAGATCTGATTTTGATTCAAGGATTGAAGCCAATGAAAACTGCGACTGAGATTCTATCCTCAAAAACAACATCTACCATTACAAAATTATTCCAACCCTTGTATAATTCGAACAGACCGTAGAGGCTATCCAGAAGAACAACCTGTCAGAGAAAAAGTGAAAAAGGAAATGCGTGAACAACTGACTACCAGAGTGAATGCGGAGGATAAGGAAATGTTTCTCCTTGCTTGTACGTGAAAAGTTCACTCCGAGGCAAAGCAGATTGCATTTGTGAAAGCATTACAGAGAGAAAGGAAGACCTCCTCTTTCGGAAGAAATAAATTTATCCACTTAACAGGGACGTGCAGAAAATGACGACAAAATAGAAGACGAACATTATATATCAGAGGTATCTGGTGTTGGTGCATCAACAACCCCAAACACTGTGAATGAGACAACCGCAGAGACAAATGAGACTGCAGATACAGACAGTCATGATAATCCAGACATTTATAAAGCTCCCCAAAGAAATCTATTTAAACTCCAAAACAGTAACGTTTGCTGTAGTTGTTGGCCAGATCATATCATCTGTGATGATGCGACTCAAGAAAGATCTCCAGAAATGGCAAAGGCAAAACTGAACTTATATATGGCTGAACCTGCTTGTTCTGATCAACCAGTTCAATGATGGAGCGAAAAAGAGCTTTTGTATCTTAAAATTGCTTAAGTAGCCAGAAGCCGTCCCTGTATTCCAGCTTACAGTGTATCCTCAGAAAAGGTGTTCAGCCTTGCTGGAAATCTTGACAGCAAGGGGAGGTTTCAACTGGCTCCCGAAAAAGTCAATGTATATACTATGATGATATTTCTGAAGAAAAACAGAAAATACTTCACTTGATCGTGGATGAATAGTATTTCAGTAGAATATAGAAATCTCTGTATTAATTATTGGTCATCCTCCTAATACTCCCGTTTATCAGTCTATTTTTATTAAAGTGGAGGTAGTAAATACTCAAGATTAAGGATCTGTTTTGTGAAGTTAACTTCAGAAGATATTTGGTTTTTTTAAGTTTTAAACTTTCAGTATATCTTACTGACAGACTTATTTACACATTTTCAGCGTTAGGACCATATTAGGATCCGTGGTTTCAGTCAACAATTGACATTGATTTCCTTAGATTTAGGAATTTGAGTGTTTAGTCAGTTTTACTTGTGAAACAAGAAACAAATAAGCTTGCATGGCTTGCCTTTAACTATTTATATGTATTACCTTAGATGTGGGAAGTTCATCCATGTATAATGTAGTGTTTGGTGCATTGCATGCAGTGCTGAAGTAATGAAGTTACTGAAGTTTAAGTTGTGCTACTTGTTTACTGGTTCCACGTTTCGGTTACAGTATATTGTACTGTTGCTAAGTGGCTCTACCCTCAAAGGGGGTTGAAGTAGGGTAAAATTATTGTCCTCCTGAGAGGGTACGTAAGTCCCAAAACTTTCAAAGTTAAAATTTTGCTTACCCGATTTTTAAACGTAGTACATTTGCTCCTTTAAATTTCGGCTAAACTTGTCCTACAATCGCCAGCGGCTGAAGGGATGGTGTAAATCCAACTAGGTCCCCATGGTCCCTAGTATGGTGATCTACCTTCAGTTGTTGGCAATCTTTAGCCCAATTTTACATTGTATTGTCCAGAAATAATTTTCTACATTTAAAGATGTATGCTAGCTAGTTTTAACTCAATCTGTGATAATCTAGTGGTTTTACTGTCCTTCGTTGACAGGGTTTTCTATATTATATGTATGTATTATAAATTTAGAACTAGTTTTAGTCACGATATGGCTGAAATATTGCCGATGTGACTTTAAATCTTAACTCACTCACTCACTTGCTATACCAGAGCTGCAGAATGCTGATTATCCTACCAATGTGGGTGCTTGCGTCTTCCAGCACAAGTTTCTGTATTCAGTGATTGGTGGTTTCTTAAAGTCTCCCAGAACTCTATGGTCGTGATATAAGGATTTTTAAAGTTGCAATTTGTATGATTTTCAGTTGGATATGACATTTGCAAATGCTGTTTGAGCATTTGGTACATAAGAACAAAGAAACAAGAACTACTTGGGTTTTTCATATTTTTATCAGCATTAACAACTTAAACAAGAAAATTTCGATGATTGATCGGGTCTAAACATCAATCATCAAATATGAAATTTCAACCGATTCCCTACACAAGTATGTAATTATATATAATATAAATACCAATGTACATATAGGCACATAGTAATACATGCACGATCAAATACATGGACTTTTCGTACCTATGACTAACTGTGTACCTTAAGCAACACTTGAAGACGAGCACCTAGGAAAACAATTCTATTCTATGCAAGGAGTGAACCTCTCTATAAAATAGAATTAAATCTACTTCGGTGTCTTTAAATTTACAGATTTCCCACAAATTACGATGATACTACTCGTGCACCAATCGTCTATGTATTTTTAGTGAGGAGTGATATACAGGAGGCATTATGTACGAAACAAACATATTTCGTGCTACTTATCACAATTTTTTCAGCGAACACCTGGTATCATCTCCTTAGGATGGAGATCCATTGACGGATGCTCACGATGTGCTTGGAACGGTACATTTTTGGAAGATATTTTTGAATTCCTGCAAATAGGGCTTTGTGGCTTTGATTGTATTATGTTTAATATTAATATCAATATTGATAAAAGTAAAATCATTGTATTTAGGAAAGCGGGCAGATTAAGGAAACCTTTATAAATTCTTTCTAAATGGAGATAACGTAGATATTGTTTCATCTTATAAATATTTGGGCGTTCACTTTTCGAGTTCAGGTAGTTGGTATATCACACAGAAAATACTAGCGGAACAGGCTTGGAAGGTTGTGTCACTGACTAGTTCATTGATTATTAATTTCTACAGTCTACCATTGAAGGTGTTGATGCATACCTTTGATGTAAGAATTCTACATGTTTTGCTCTAAGGAGCGGAAGTTTGGGGCTTCCACCCTTCGCCGAATACTCTTTGTGTTCATGATAAATTTTGTAAGCAAATACTTAGGCTCTCTGTTACTACACCGAACATTGTAGCTCGTTGCGAACTTGGGAGATATTCTTTGAATGTCAATAAATATATTAAAATAATTAAATATTGGATCAGATGTACAAGTCAAAGGGCGAATGTAATTTTGTACAATGTATATAAGTATCAGTTTAGTTCAGCTGAAAATAAACTTGACTGCTGGGCACTAAAAGTTAAAACCTTATTGTTCACTTATGGTTTTGGACAGGTGTGGATGGACCAGCGTGTTGTCAACATGCACCAGTTTCTAATTGAATTTAAACAGAGACATTGACATTGACGTTCAAAATTGGGTTTCAGACCTTCGTATATATTCCAAACTTGAGATGTACAGTCACATTTCACATTAAGGTACATCTTTCTGAAGAATATTATTTTAGTGTAGTCAAAGTAAAAGTTAACTGTGTTGCATTGTGTAAGTTCCGCTGCTCCAACCATGACCTAATGATTGAGTATGGGAGACGTCTCAAACTTGACCGCAAAGATCGTCTCTGCCCATTCTGTGTTAGACGTATTGAATCTGAATTACACTTCTGTCTTGAATGTCAATTTTACCACGACCTGCGATCAGATCCCTTGCAAGAATTTTATTATGTCTTTCCATCTTGCAATAAGCGTATCTTATTATTCACATAGAAATACAATGTTATTATAAACAACCTTGCTAAATATATTTGTTTAGCTCAGAAGAAACGAAACAAATATTTTCCATCATGTTGATGCTATTAATGTATATTATAATATTGCATTTAACATAACACCTGTATATGTGAATGACGTGGCGCTTCGTCAACGTATTGTAGCACTAATTTACATGTATATTGGGCCGGTGGCCCCTTTATCGGAATAAACTCTCTCTCATATAGGCCTGTGCTCTTCTGAGTACGGAAATGAGGACTAAATTGGCATACGATCAGTCGCATGCAATTCTTCTTGTACAATGTTGACAATAACGTGAACATATGGCTGTTGGTGTAAAACACAAAATATCTATTTTAATCTTTCTCTTGTATTATCGTCCAGATGCTCGAGTTCCGGCCACAAAGACGTCAATCAAATTGCGGTCATCACCTGTTAAAGAAAAACACATCCATCTGTAAAAGACCTATCAGATATTTGTTTGCCCATCATTTGGTACATGTATTCAAACATTAAGTAGTAACACTTCGGACCTTGTCACACTAACAATCATACTCCTTTGTTACATAGCTTGAAACACCCTAATGTGAGCTAAACTGTTATATCTAGCACATCACATTGCAAATATTCCGGCTGCCAAACTGTGATGGAAGAAATGGAAGTATTGCAAATTTTGTTACCAACCAGCAGTTAAGCCTCATATATGTGTTTAAATGTGTTACAAAAGACGAAGTAGAAAAGATACCCATTTGGCTCGTAGAATGGGCATACATTTTGGACAATGTTGTAAAAGATTTTAGATGCTTAAAGAAACAATATGAAGACTTCGTTCACTTCAGCAGATGCATTTTCGGTAATTATGGGAACTACACTAAATGTGCAATCATGCTAATACAAGAGGTTCGATTTTCATTTTGAACTTTAGCAAGTGGCAGTAAAGCAGAAACATAATGTACGTACAATACTATAGCCTATGTTATGAACAAGACTGACAGATTAAATCTGTAGTTCGATACACGTTTTTGCTCATGTTAGCCACAACTATGCTCTTGGTCAAGTAAGAGGTGCACAAGTTATAGTTTTGAGACGTGATGAAGACGTATTTTCTGCGAACATAATTGTATGACAATTAGAGCCATATTTTGTCCGGCAGTACCCTGTGATACAAGAGTTAAATTTGTGGCGATATCAACTAACTAATACATTTTTGTTCAGACTTCACACAAATAATTTCGTACATTAGTTTAACTTACCTAAGAAGAGGAACTTCTGTATGATGTCGAGGAAGGTGTCAGTTGAGAAGACATCAAACGGAGAGTTCTCCACTAATGGGTCGACCACAATGGCGTCAAAGTCCTTTCCAACTTGAAAGTTCCCTATTGTCTCATCCAGTCCCATTACTAGAAGAAGTAGCCGACATAATGATGCTTAACATCTTTCATGACGCTTTAACAGATGTCCAATACAGAGAGGAACATATAGTGAACAATTCAAGTGAATGCGTTTGGTTTTACGCCACTTTTAGCAATATTCCAGCTACATCACGGCGGGGAACACCAGAAATCGGCTTCACATATTGTACCCATGTTGGGAATCGAACCCGGGTCTTCGGCGTGACGAGCAAACGCTTTAACCACTAGGCTACCCCACCGCCCCCGAGACAATTCAAGACTAACACGTGATGCAGTATGTCAAATAACACAATATATGATTACATTGTTATATTATGGAGTTGAATTTCACAGAAACTCCAGAACGTTTTTGCTGGACATTGCAAGTGTAGAAGTTTCACTATCTCAAAATGCAAACAGTTAATGGCATGTTCAGAACAACGCAGCAAGGATTCATCTGAAAGCAAACAAAAATAATACAAACTCAATACAATACAAAACTCAAACCTTCACTTCCACCTAACGTTGCCAGGCGGAACAGTTCCTTGTATGTAAGTATTTTATAGTTCTCTCCCTTTTCTTCTCGCTGTATAGCGATAGTTTTCGAGACTTGAGAGGCAGAGCGAAGCGCATCTAACATTGAGCTGCTGTAGCCCCCTGAAACATCTTTCAAGAAATCAAAAAATGAAATTAATAGATTTATCTTTAGCTTCAAATTTCGTTTTAGAAGGTTTTCTCATGCAATGCGTTTATTTAGTGGGATATAATTTACTGTAAATGAGTTTCTCGTGTGATGTTCGAAACATGTTATGATAAAAACAATTATGAAAATGTGATGAAAATGCAGTTTTAGCAGTTGTTTATGTTTTCTTCTGTAACAATAATTCGCTCTAAACTTCGTTATCACTGTCCTGTTATCACACAGCTTAAATTGTTGTAACATATAATTTGTATATCTTCTTGTATATCTACCTGTTCCAAGTCCAATCTTACAGTCCTTTTCAAGCACGTGCCGTACATCAAGAAAACCGCTTCTTAACCTGAAATGCAATGTAGACACATGTGTAGACAAGTGGAATTATCTCCTATAACATCACTATTACAATAAGTAGAATTGTCTCTATAAAATCTCTGTTACAATAGGTACATTTGTGTCCTATAACATCACTTTTATAATAGGTAGAACTGTCTCCTATAACATCACCGTTACAATGGGTAGATTTGTGTCCTATAACATTACTTTTATAATAGGTAGAACTGTCTCCTATAACATCACCGTTACAATCGGTAGATTAGTGTCTTATAACATCACTTTTATAATAGGTAGAACTGTCTCCTACAACAACACCGTTACAATAGGTAGATTAGTGTCCTATAACATCACTTTTATAATAGTTAGAACTGTCTCCTATAACATCACCGTTACAATGGGTAGATCTGTGTCCTATAACATTACTTTTATAATAGTTAGAACTGTCTCCTATAACATCACCGTTACAATAGGTAGATTAGTGTCCTATAACATCACTTTTATAATAGGTAGAACTGTCTCCTATAACAACACCGTTACAATAGGTAGATTAGTGTCCTATAACATCACTTTTATAATAGTTAGAACTATCTCCTGTAACAACACCGTTACAATAGGTAGATTAGTGTCCTATAACATCACTTTTATAATAGTTAGAACTGTCTCCTGTAACAACACCGTTACAATAGGTAGATTAGTGTCCTATAACATCACTTTTATAATAGTTAGAACTGTCTCCTATAACATCACCGTTACAATGGGTAGATTTGTGTCCTATAACATTACTTTTATAATAGGTAGAACTGTCTCCTATAACATCACCGTTACAATAGGTAGATTTGTGTCCTATAACATTACTTTTATAATAGGTAGAACTGTCTCCTATAACATCACCGTTACAATAGGTAGATTAGTGTCCTATAACATCAATAGGTAGATTAGTGTCCTATAACATCACTTTTATAATAGGTAGAACTGTCTCCTATAACAACACCGTTACAATAGGTAGATTAGTCTCCTATAACATCACTTTTATAATAGGTAGAACTGTCTCCTATAACAACACCGTTACAATAGGTAGATTAGTGTCCTATAACATCACTTTTATAATAGGTAGAACTGTCTCCTATAACAACACCGTTACAATAGGTAGATTAGTGTCCTATAACATCACTTTTATAATAGTTAGAACTGTCTCCTGTAACAACACCGTTACAATAGGTAGATTAGTGTCCTATAACATCACTTTTATAACAGGTAGAACTGTCTCCTATAACATCACCGTTACAATAAGTAGATTTGTCTCCTATTAATCACTTTTACAATAAGTACATTTTTCTGTTATAACAGCACTGTTACAATAGGTAGAATTGTATTCTATAACACCACCGATTTCCGACATGGGTACTATGTGTGACGCCTATTTCTGGTGTCCCCCGCCGTGACATTGCTGGAATATTGCTAAAAGCGGCGTAAAACTAAACTCACTCACTCACTCTATAACACCACTGTTTCCAAAGCCTGAACTATTTTACCACATGTAAGCTGAACGGCGACACTTAAAACTATAAAGGATTTCATACACTTGCGACATTTACCATTCTACAACATAAACATTGTAAGGCGACATTTATTTCTTAAATAACTTGATCCGTGATGCTAGGTGATACTGACACTACTATTGTACTACATACGTGGTGTTAGTTGCTATATGGTCATGTACAGTGCATTAAACATGCTGGACAACGTTTACCCTTGTATAGTAATGCACATATAACAGCCCTTGAAGTACACAACAGGTATAGCCAAGAACAGTACTAACACCCTTGGTATTACGTGGTATTACGTACGTGATGTTGGAGTTGGGACAGTGGGCTATGCCGGAACCGCGCTGTCTGAGTAGGTCGAACTCCTCGTCTGACATGTAGACACAGTGGGCTAAAACTGTCTGATAAACATACAATATGTTACGATGGGAGTTCTTCGGAACAGAACCTACTGGTATTTTAAAAAATAATGAAATGCTAAGGGAGTTAAAAATCAAGTTTAATCTACAGTTACGTAGTAGTTCATATGTAACAGCATATATATACAAGTAATGCGTTCACATTACACACATCAATACTATTTCTTTTAGAAAAGTAAGGGATATTCAATATGACAGGGGCATCTGACGGATGTTTTGCATTAGTCGGTGAACGTTAAATACGCACAAATTGTATTAGATGATAACCCAAAGTGCACTGTCCATGCAGAAATTTACCATAAAAAGCCAAGCTTATAAATATCGCGAGAATCCACCTCTCTTCTCACGACAATCGCGGCATACTCCGAATCAAACGACCAGTGTCAACTTAGTTCATTCCATCTCCTTCCCCCTGCAGAGCAGCGCCATGTTCTTTCGAGTAGTCGGTGGTTGTTGGCCCCAGGCATATTCGATGGGTGACAGGTCTGGACTGAGCGCTGGTCATGAAATGTCTTCCTTTGGAAGTATTCAGTGACAATACGAGACCTGAGAGTTCTTGCGCTACCATCGTGGAACACAAAACGACGTCCATGGCAGCACCTTTGCCTCCAGGGTGTTGTCAAGGTAGTACAGGCCAGTGACATATCCGTAACATGTAAAGGTGTTCTGCCAGTCAAGGAGATCCCACCCAACCCAATTACTGAGCCACCCCTCTAAAGATTGTTCTTCCCATTTCTCACCGGCATGAAAACTCCCATTCGCCACGCTCCGTTGTGCCTGTCAAGACATTCCGGAGTAAACATTGATTCATCTGCGATTGATACCAACGACGTTTTGCAGTATTATGACGGCCGTGGTTACAAGTGGACGTGGCTACCTGTGTAGCGAACACCTCCAATTTGAGTTTCGTAACACAGGTTTCCTAACACGGTTTGGTGACAAAGTTGTGCTAATGAACCGGACAGTTGTCGACCAGATCGACGCAGTATTTGTCTGTAGATATCGTGAATGCAATCTGCTAATTACTGACAGCGACACCTGAATAAGTCTGCTATAATGCTCTGTCTTCTTCCAACTTTCGACATACCCATTGCACGTACTTGTTCCGGGGTGACACATTCCGCATTTCGCAAAACGTTCAGTTGAGTTTAAAACAATATCAGAGTCGCTTTCAATTTGATTTTGTTTTTATCACTGAGATGTACCGTGACACTGTAAATGTTTACCTCGACCATGCTTACGTGCACATTATGAAAAACAGTTCAACGAAATCGGCGTGTTTGCGCGAAAGTCATAGCACGTTTTCTCATTTTCTAAATCGCTATGAAATTATACAACTTGGTTTCCAGATAATATAATCCCAACATGGAATATCCCCAACTTTTGTAATAGTATATATGACATATCCTTGTGCTCTCAGCTCCAAACATTGCTTCAAGGCTTCAGTTCATACACGACCTAATATATTTTCCTCACGAAAAATAGACTCAGATTACCGTGTTTCCATTCTACACCGACCAGATGTATTGACAGTAAATGTCTCGTACAAGTTCTCGTTACTGACATGAAGGTTTAGTTAATGGCATCCTTCTCTTACATTGTGTTTCAGTAGGCCAGCTTTGTCCCATACGTGGAGATGGTTGGAAGGCTCGGGGCCTACGTCACCTCTGGTTTCTAGGACATGGGTCTGAAAACAGATTTGACAATTGATGGAAAGGGTGTCTTTTCATAAGACTCCACACAACTATTAACAGCTATTTTTCCCCGACTTTCTTGTTGATGAAGTATTTGTTATTGACCTTTCTGGTCTGCTCATTCTGCACATAACCTGCGAGTGTGTTCACTTGCCTTAACATGTAAACCTTATTAACAGAAACAATGTTGAAAATAAATTCAATTCCAATATATATCAAGACTAAAAGTAAAAATGATGATGATGATGATGATGATGATGATGATGATGATAACTTTGGATCAGCTGACTCACCTGAACGGGAAGCTGATACTCTTGGTTCAGTCGACCAAGGGACGTAAGAAGTTCTTCCGAACATGTCTTAATGAACCTTGGTGTTATTATTGGCGTTACCAGTGAGTTCTAGGGAAAAACGACAAAGAATCCCATTATACCAAATCATTGTGTATCCTGTTTCAGAGACCGCCTCCGTGGTGTAGTCGTTAGAGCGTCCGCCCGGAGAGCGGAAAGTCGCGGGTTCGATCCCCGACCGCGTCATACCAAAAGACGTTAAAATATGGTACTTGTTGGTCCCTGCCTGGCGCTCGGCATTAATGGGTACAACAAGGACTGGTCGGCTCGGAGTCAGTATAATGTGTCTGAGTGGGGTATTCATGCTTCACTGCGGCATGGTATCTCATTGGGCTAGCACTATAAAAATAGCTTCAGTCTGGGCTAGTACAAGCAGCCGCACCTACACATACACACGCATGCACGTCGTCATATGAGCGAAATATTCTCCAGCACGACGTTAAACCCAATTCCAATTCACCTCCTGTTTCCGTATGCTAAATTCGTTCTAATTTCAATTTACGCCAACAGAATTAAAGAAACATAACTCTAAAGAATGATCTCTTAATGAAGGTCCGATGTAATGAGTAAATTGTTCTTTATTTGTACCTTTTTTGAAATAGCTGATTCGACAAATCTGAAAAAAAATGATATTGGTGGATAGTAAATGTGAAACATATAGGGCAGAGAATAACCAATCTCAAAATATTCTGAATGTAAAAGGAAAACGATCTTGGAATATAATACGATTGGATGACTGAAAATATTTATTATACGAGGAGAAGAGGTATGTTATTGAACGGATTTACTTCTTTGTTTCTTCCAGTGACTCTTCCGTCGTTTCCCTGTAATAGGAGGGCGAGCAGCAGTCGAGGTTCACCTTCCCAACATAGGCTCTCTGTCCGGCTTTCTCTGTATACAAGAGCAAAATCCTTTCCATTCTCTAAGAAATATATCCTGATATATGGGTAAGTCCCCATGAACCCCAGTAACGTGGTCTAGCTTTGGTTGTTGGTGGTCCATAGCACGTGTTTTAATGTAAATATATGTCATATCGAGTTGCATTTTTAGAATTGGAAATTATTAGTTTTTAGACTTGCATTTTGTGATACGTTGCTAAAGTTTTATTGTCCTTCGTGACAGATATTTATCATATATACTTACTTTGTTCTGGCCACTATATGGCTAACATATTGCCGGCTTGACGTTAAATTTCCACTCACTCACTCGCTCACTGATTTATGGATTTAACCTTACGAACCGATTATATCAGGAGCATGTGCTTGTGGGTGACTATTCAATCGTTATGAGTTTCAATTATGAGCCCACCAGATTCTCGCATCACAAGCTCCTACAAATATTCTACAAAGTGCATTTTCTCCTGCTCACAGGAATTATAGAATTACATCGAACATCAATTTGGTCACTGGGGATCAATTTGAAATGTCATCCACAAGTCACCTTCGCAAAAACGGAAATGGTTTAGTACCTGCCCAAATAAGGGGAAATGCAGGTCATTCATCGTGTTCTCCTTATTAAGATCTATACTAGCCACATAAAGAAATGTGCATTTCAAAATCTTATCCCAGTTGATAAGTACGATAACAATGTCAAAGGTACATATAAACTTTAATGGAGGGATCATGAGACCATAACAAGTCGGGAGAATTTCAATTGAAAAGTCAATCACAATGACTTCACGAGTCCACAAGCGGGACAGGGGTCAAACGACCATGTCACAAGCTCAATAACGGGTATGTCCACCATCGGCATTGAGAACAGCAGTGCATCGACGACGCAACGTGCAAGGAAGGCTTGTGGGATGTCACGCCAGATTCTCTCAAGTTCTGTTGCAAGGTCAAGGACGTTATCTGGCGGATGAGGAAGACGGCGTAGACGTCGACCCATTTCGTCCCAAACATGCTCTATCAGGGAGAGATCCGGTGAATTTGCAGGCCAAGGCAGTAAGTCAACGTTGTGGTGTTGCAAGAAATCCATAGCAACCCTTGCCGTATGAGGGCGGGCATTGTCCTGTTGGAATGTTAACCCAGGGCCATGATGTTGCAGAAAAGGAATTGCCACAGGTCGAAGAATCTGATCCCTGTACCCCAAACCAGTTCAGTTGCCCTGAACAATCCCCAAAGGAGTTCTTTGGCGTGCTGTTATTCCACCCAAAATCATCACGGAGCCACCACCAAAGCGATTCCTCTCCAAGACACAGGCCTGTGCATAACGTTCACCCACGCGGCTATAGGCACGTTGACGTCCATCACTATGGGAAATGTTAAACCTGGACTCATCTGTAAAACAACACTTCTCCACCAAAACAGGGGTCTGCGGACATGATTTCGGCACCACATTCGGCGAGCTTGTCGATGACGTTGTGTCAAGATAGGCCGTATGGCGGGACGTCGTGGTCTGATCCCGTGATGACGTAAACGTTGTCGAACTGTGTTGGGGTTGATACGGCGAAGTCCTGGGATGGTTCGGGCAGTCTTCACTGCAGTCTGAAACCTGTGGTGAAGATGGGTCACCCTTATCCATCTATCCTGTCTTGGCGTTGTTACACGTGGACGTCCAGAACGTGGCCGATCGATGACGTCATTTGTGTTCTGGTAGCGTCTCACCAGTGCAGAAAGGGTGTTCCGGTGGCAGTGGAAATGTGCAGCCACTTGTCGTTGAGACATTCCCCCACGGACCATCCGAATGGCCTCATGACGTTGTGCAGACGTGAGCCTTGGCATGCTATGCGTTTCAATAGCTGTTTAATTTTTTGAACGATCGCAAGGGCAGGGGTTGAGCTTTCCAAAGTGACAGTATTGTGTGGCATTCATTTGCTCTGTTTCTCTTTCCCGGAATGCACGTGCAACAACGTATTGCACGTCTCAAGGACGAACCCACTGACGTCACGGAACGTGGCACGTGCATGCATGTTGGATACATGTCACTAATCTCTGAGTTTAAATCCTTATGTGTCTACACAGGTTTTATAAATTTAGATTTTAAATTTTTGTATCCAAAGTTTCTTTATGTGCCTAGTATATATACGTACATTGATACCCTAACTGAATCATGACTTGCCATTCAGATCGCCTTCTTCATCATGTATTCCTTTCTTAACAGGAGTATGGGATTAATAATATAATTAGTACTTGTCTGTCGTAATTGCAAATATCCGTATGTACATATGCTTTATTGAATTTTTTCTGTGATTGAGGCAGTGGAAAGTTCATGAAACAATAAGGATACTGTTATCATTAGGTAATCTCTTGAATGCTTAATACTGCTCCGGTATATTATGAAGAAAGATTTTATTCTGTACTCGAGTTGTTGTGGTATAAACAATATTGGTATTTGTGTAAGGTCAAAGGAACATAGTTTACCAATAACTTGAAAAAGCAGGTTTGTCGCATCTCTGTGTAATGTAGCAAAGTAACATGCAGTCGTTGTTCCGTTCTTCAGAGTTCTATCCTGTGAAAATAGATTTGGAAACGTCACTTTTTTAAATTGCAAATGATGCTTTGTCATGTATTTGTTATGTGACACGAATTAAATATGTCTTTTAATTTTTAATGAAACGTTTCAAGAATATTACTTCGAGGATGGACACGGACAATTATGAAATTTACAGATAGATATGGTGACTCGTTATTTTAATATAAGTAACATGAGACGTTCTGACCCACCCCTTGGTTCACGTGATCAACGACACGAGGCTGACGTTAAGCAACAAAAGAATGATCAAATAGACATAAACGTGACCTTCTTGCAGGCAAATCCTTTGTTTACCGTATTCAACAACATGAACCCGTCGTTAAGTAACGAACAAACAATACAGAGCACGGTACATATCAAACGTCAATGAATCATTGGTATTCATCTTCCGTGACAAGAAAATGAACGAAAGAAAAAAAAATGTACTAGAAACATAAAATGGTAATTCAGAGAATGCAGTGACAGATTGATTGGACATTTCATGAACCTCTGACGTTACACGTGCTCATGCATTGCCTACTTTACAGTCCGATACTTGCTCCTGACAATTTGGGGGCGGTGGGGTAGCCTAATGGTTAAAGCGTTGGCTCGTCACGCCGAAGACCCGGGTTCGAATCCCCCCATGGGTACAATGTGTGAAGCCCATTTCTGGTGTCCCCCGCCGTGATGTTGCTGGAATATTGCTAAAAGCGGCGTAAAACCAAACTCAGTCAGTCAGTCAGTCAGTCCTGACAATTTGTATTACTTTGAGTCTCGGTCCGAACCTATTGGGTGAACTGGAGAAGGGCGACTTATAAAACTGATCATGACGTTACAATCTAACTCGCTGGCATATAGACAGTGGCAAAGGTGTTATATACAACGCTCAGAATTTGCGTTGTGAGTCTGTAACAACACTACCGCTGACCTGTTTTTCAACAAACGAATAAACATACGTCAACATATGTATTGGCATTAAGAACTGCAGACGTTAGTACCCCTTTCAAGGACATACAAAACCGACGGTACGATTTGCAGTATATACGTAATAAGATGCGCAATAGACGCCAATATTGAAATCAATTTATTACTCCTGAGAGTACCACCACCTGTGCCTCAAGAATCTACAGTTATAACGGTCTGCAGAACAGACTGACTGATCTCACGAATGTTCATGTATACATTGGCAATGGTATTAAAACAACATGCAGAATAAGCAAATTGAAATCATGATGATACTTAGATGTTCCTTTAAATATCTAAAAGGCATCGTCGTTACGACCTGCAGTGACCCTAAATGTACAGAACTGACGGTACGATCTGCAACCTCTACGTTAACGATGCGTCTTTACCGTTAATTATGAAATTTTAACATTCAAAATGAGTACAATTGCTGAGACCTACCACAACCTTGCTGTAGACATCCATGGCGTAGGTCAGGTCCTTGAACTTAGCTTCAGTTGGGTACGTGTAGGTGTTTAGCCAGTCGTACAGCTGTAGATCCATGTTGGAGCCGGCAAACGCGTACTGTGGAGCATGGATGTGGGTGTCCACCAACCCAGGGATCAGAAACTGCCTGTGATGTAGAAATCAGATCCCGATAAGATTATAGATCAGAATTTGGCCACTAGTAATCTTTCTAGAAGTGTCGGCTGAAATTGATGAAGTCGTCACGCAGGTTGAGTTGGTTGATTGCGTATTGTCCTTCCGGGTTAGAACTGGTCTTCAGTAAACCATACTTGTCTTAAAAGGCGACTAACGGGATTTTGTGGTCAGGCTCACTGACTTGGTTGACATATGTCATCGTATCCCAATTTTGCGTAGATCGATGCTAATGCTGTTGACCATTGGATTGTCCGGTTCAGACTCGATTATTTACAGACCGCCGCCATATAGCTGGAATACTGCTGAGTGAGCGTTAAACAACAACCAAACTAAACCGAGGGTACTGTCCTTCTACTTGTGAGATACTGGATTGTTTCCGCTACCAGATCGTTGTAATGTTGCCTTTATGGAGAATACGAACACATCCATATCATTGCAAAATAATTATGCTGTTCACATACGGAGAGAAATACTGAAATGTGATCATTAGTTTTCAACCTGATATGTGCACGGCGTACTAATCGGGCCATACATTTCATAAAACGCAACACTGGACAGACATGCCAGGAAACTTTGTTTCTGTACCACAATGGTAAATCTTCATACAGTCATTATATTCAACACTGAAGCTTTAACTGTACACATTCAAATGCATAATTCCTGGGACAAATTATTTGGTTTGGTTGTTTAACGCCACACTCAGCGATATTCCAGATATATGGCCGCTGTCTGTAAATATTTTAAGTCCGTATCAGAAAATCCAGTGATCAACATCATGAGCATCGATCTACGCAATTGGGAACCGATGACATGTGTCAACCAAGTCAGTGAGCCTGACCACCCGATCCTGTTTGTCGCCTTTTGCGACAAACATGGCTTACTGAAGGTTCTAACCAGGACCTAAAAGGTATTTAGAAATATACTCAAATAGGTCAAATTCTTATTTATGTTTGTCCGATACTGGCATTGTGTAGTATCATTGAGGGTATAAATACAAAATCACATACCACAATCTTAAGTGGCATAACAATACTTGATGATCATTTGTCTCTCTTTACGACAACCGTTAGTGAGTTCACTGACCATTTTTCCAGATGTCTGATGTTTTCACGAGGTACACTGTATTCGCTCATCAGATCGTGAAGACGTGTGTCATTTTCGATGAATATTATCTGAATTAAAGCAAAAGATGATACATCAACAGACTCATGATCATATATGTCAAAACTACTCCATCAGACCGGCAAACACAAAGTAGAACGACGACACTATACATGTAGATCACTTCCAAAAACAGCAGTCTAAAACGGACAACCTCTTGATGTCAGCACTGCCATTCTATTATTTTCTGCGTCAAAAGTAAAGTCAAACTATTTACAAATTTGATTTTCCCCAACGATTCTAAATTTGTATGAGTGAGTTTAGTTTTACGTCGCTTTTGGCAATATTCCAGCAATATCACGACGGGGAACACCAGAAATAGGCCTTACACCCATGTGGGGAATCGAACCAGGAATTTTCGGCGCGACGAGCGAACACTTTAACCACAAGACTACCCCATCGCCCCTAAATCAGTAAGAATGAATGTATTATTGTAGACCATTGTTGCACACGTAAATCCCAATGAGACCCGTGAAGATACGGGTGAGAATTGGTCTTCAGCTACCAGTGCTTGTCATTAAAGGAGACAAACGGGATCGGGTGGTCCGGTTCGCTGCTTGGTTGACTCATGTCATTGTATCCTAGTTGCATAGATCTATGCTCTTGATGCCAATCACTGGTTCGTCTTATTTACAGACCACTGTCATATAGCTGGAATATTGCTCAATGCGGCGTTAAACAACGAACAAACGAAAACGAAGCACGTTCGTCGTGCATTCCATAACATCCCTACGATATACATGTGTATATCTAACTATAGAAACCGCTGAATTATATGAAATCTGAAACCTAATGAGTCAATTATTCGCGAAACAGATTCCATTGTTCGTAATAGACAATGTAGCAGAAAAATGTCATGAAACGATCGCAAATAATGGAAAGTCACACTAGAGAAATATATTAATCCTGGCATTCGTGTTGGAAAAGCAATATGATATCCTCAGGTTTCTATAATCTGTATTCAGTTCACAAGCTGTTGCGGAAAAGGTTTTGATATACAGCTCCAATTAATTTTTTAAAATATGCTTAGAACTAATGAAACTGAAGCTGTAATTTGAAGAATGAGGACGATTTTATCGATATACAATTTATTTATTCTGTACGGGCGACGTTCCGACATAGATAGCTGACACAACTATCAGAGGATTAGATTCTTCTGAGGCATATAGAAGTTGGTATTCAAGCATAAGACAAGATATTATGGATGACAATACTTTATTACCCGTGAGGGAATTCTTGTGTAAAGTACAGAGCTCAAACATTGATAAAATGATGAAATTATTTTCATATAATAAATAACACACATATAACACGCTAACAAGGTGAGTCAAACACTAGGATTCATTTAAAAAATTAATACTGGCGGGAACAAAGGATTTCATGGCACGATTGGATTTAAAACGGGGTAAATTATAACGGCGCCCAGAAGGCAGTAATATATATTCATAGTGGATGGGATGTTCTGGGTCAGATATAATCTTACGGGCTGACTTGAGAACTCTTTCAATACGTGTCGCTACCGTGCAGCGCCACCTGGAGACTAACTAACAGATATACAGAATGTACATGAAGCAGAGTGATTTTGAGCATGTATACACAAGGAACAGAGGATCTGGTAGTTAGTATTCACCTGACGAAGGGGCAAGAAACAGCCAAGAAACGTTGTGTATACAATAAACAAGGAGTTGACATCCATAATATTTTGTCTTATATCAGAAGATTGCAACGATATGTAATGGGTTGCCAGCGTAAGGAGAACTTTTCACAGACCGAGGGTTTCGGCAAATAATCAGACCCTGGAAAATAGCGTTACCGTTATCACAGCTAATGTAGGAGAATGATCCTGAGAATGATAATTTCCTTAAATTAATGAAAGAAAAACAATGCACGGCAGATGCTATTGGCCCAGAGGACACAACAATTGTATGATACGTCAAACAGTGAATTTCGAGCACATTAGGGAAAAACAGCTTAGTTTGAAAATCGAAGACAAAATTATGTTTTATGGACGGAAATGTTTGACAAGCCCAAAGTTGAGCCTGTGATCGGCACCAAACACCTGCAAGAATAGGAACAATATCAGAATCCTTCCGCAACGTTGCACCTAGTTTTCGCTTAAACGTCCATCTATTGTCCTCCTCAGAGGGTACTAAGTCCCAAACACTCTCAAAGTCAATTTCGCTCAACCATACTCTTTAATCGTAGTATTTTTGTGATTTTAATTTCGGCTAAATTTTCCTACCATCGCCAGCGGTTGAAGGGATGGTGTAAATCCAGCTAGGGTCCATGCAGGTAGCAAAAGTAATGTAAGTCCCCACGGTCCTAGTATGGTGATCTATCTTCAGTTGTTGGCGATCAATAGCCCGTGTTTTATATTGTATTGTCTTCTTTAATAAAAATCTTTTAGTTTTACATGCTAGTTTTATGTTCATAGATGTGATACTTTAGTATTTTTACTGTCCATCGTCGACAGGTTTTACTCTCCAAAACGTTTTCTTTTTTATTATATAAATTGTTTTCGTCACGATATGGTTGAGATATTGCCGATGTGACGTTAAATATTAACTCCTTCACTCAATTAACGTCCAACTGCAGTCTGTCGTGTATTGTAGTCATCTGGGTCTTCACTGCTTCGTCCTGACAAGGTACGTAAGTCCCAAAACTTCAAGGTCAATTTAGCTTCACCAAACTTTTAATCGTAGAATATTTGGGGTTTTTTAAGTAATGGCTAAAGCTCAGTCGCCAGCGGCTGAAGGGATGGTGTAAATCCAGCTAGAGTCCATGCAAAAGGTAGCAATGTACTGTAAGTCCCCATGGACCCTAGTATTGTGATCTACCTTCAGTTGTTGGTGATCTATAGCCCGTTTTTATTTTGTACTGTCTATAGTGATATAATTTTACGATAGCGTACTAATTTTAAATTTATATCTGTGATAGTCTAGTACTTTCACTGTCCTTCGATGACAGGTTTTTACGTTCTAAATTTATTGATTTTAATATTGATATCAATTAAATTGTTCTTGTCACGATATGGGTGAAACATTGCCGATGTAAATATTAACTACCTCACTCACTCACTCTTCCCTGCTTCATTATTGACACATATATCATCAGTTCACTCGTGAGACGTCATAATTGTTTATGTTAATATGTAGATTAGCTGTTACGTCATGTGGCAAAGTGATTTATAAAAAAAAGTAATTGGGTGACTGTTGCCCTAACTCTACCTGATAACTGGTAAGTCATACCTTTTATAATCATGTCCATTTTAGTAATGAAAGCAACACAAAAACTACCATCTTGGTAGATCGAGTGCATCAATGATGTGGCATTGGTTTGTTTCAAACCTAAAAACATGCCCAAGATGTTTCAAACCATTTTAAGAATCTCAGGTGTTTTCCTTTATAGTAAAAATATAGAAATAATATAACAAGAATGTTTTTTTCAAAACTGACATAACGCAGTCATTTCTTTTCGCAGACAGCTGTTATCATCACTATTTCATAGTGATTCATAAATACATGCTCTGTCATCGAATCGCATGGTGAAAATCACTGGATTGTCTGGTCCAGATTCGATTGTTTACAAACAACATCATACTGCTGTAATACTGCTGGAACAAATACATACTCATAATATAGTCACAACTGAACAATCGACTCACTCAATTTCTTGAGTGAAAGGGTTTCGTTGCTTCTATTTTCATCATTTCAGTTCTTCACAAACCTACCTTGCCCCGCTCCACTCCAATGACCATATCGTTGTTTATCACCATATCTTCCTCCTTCGTTGAGTGGACGAAGGTGCCATGGAAAATCGTCACAGTTCCTGCCATTGTCGATCCTGTGAAAAGTCGGCATGTGGTAGATTGAAGCTGAAGTGGAATGGCCGAGTAACATATTGTTGACCCAGTTTGAATACTTATAGTGGTTAGAGCGTCCGCCCGGAGAGCGGAAGGTCGCGGGTTCAATCCCCGACCGCGTCAGACCAAAACACGTTAACATATGGTACTTGTTGGTCCCTGCCTGGCGCTCGGCATTAATGGGTATAACAAGGACTGATCGGCTCGGAGTCAGTATAATGTGTCTGAGTGGGGTATTCATGCTTCACTGCGGCATGGTATATCAGTGGGCTAGCACTTTAATACCAGTTTAAGTCTGGGCTAGTACAAGCAGCCGCACATACACATACACACGCATGCACGTCGTCATATGAGCGAAATATTCTCCAGCACGACGTTAAACCCAATTTCACTTCACCTCACCTCACTTATTGTGACAGGACCCGACGTATATTGGTTCAAGTCTCGCCCCGATATGGTATCTAAAGTCCGTTTCGTGATCTTAACCGAGCTGGTTTTACTCGATAGTGGTAAGGTGTTCTAGATACCTTTAGTGCTTACATGCCCCAGTGCTTCCTCGCCAGACGGTTTCTACAGCAACAAGATCTAGAGCTACAGTGGTTGGCTGCAATTTACATGCATCTCCGTGTGGCTGAATATTTTAACATAGCAGTGTTATGTAGTGTCAAACAACATTGTAAATGTATTCGATTGTGTCTGGTATGATTCAGTATTAGTAAGTGAGTATAGTTTTACGCCGCTTTTAGTAATATTCCAGCAATATCACGGCGGGGGACACCAGAACTGGGCTTCATACATTGTACACATGTGGGGAATCGAACCCGGGCCTTCTGCGTGAAGAGCGGACGCTTTAACCACTAGGCTACCCCACCGCCCCCAGTATAAGTTTATAACATTTTGTTTTAAAATAATTAGTAGTCAGGAATATATTACTAATTAATGTGAGCAGTTGCTGTTATATTTAATATTGACATTGTATTGCTCTGCCGTTAAAAGTTGAATTGCCACTGTAATTACTTAATTATTTGATTTATAACCAAACTTAATTATATAAACATTGCAGAACACATTTGTGTTGTTTATTGTCTATTTGGGGTATATAATTTCTGGATAACTTTATGTTTCAGTGGGGTTGAAGCATTGTAAAATTATTGTCCTCGTGTGGGGGTACGTAAGTCCGAAAACATTCAAAGTGAACTTAAACATACCATTATTTGTAAGCGTAGAATATGTGTTATTTTAAATTATGGCTAAATTGTCTAACCTTGCTGACAGCTGAAGGGATGGTGTAAATCTAGCTAGGGTCCATGCAGGAAGCAAATGTACTGTAAGTCCCCATGGTCCCTAGTATGGTGATCTACCTTCAGTCGTTAGCAATCTACAGCCTGTTTTTATTTTATATTGTCATTTATAGTTCCAATATTTTAGATTTAATTGCTAGTTTTAAATGGATATCTGTGATACACTAGTAGTTTTACTGTTCTTCGTCAGCAGGTTTTTTAATTTCTAACTTTATTCATCTTTAATATAATTATAAAGAGTTCTCGTCACGATATGGCTGAAATATTGCCGATGTGACGATAAATATTAACTCACTAACACATTATGTTTCAGTCGATACATAACAATACGTAAATGCAAATAATAGCTGTCAACGGTAAATAAAGAATGTGGTTTATCACAGCATAATCTGCACCCTTTATGTTTTGACCAAACATGTGTATATTTTTTCTCCATTGTTGTCCATAATAGATTAAAGTACATCATCACACTCGTATTCTCTTGGAAGAGGAAAACTATCGCTCTTTCTGAATACCCAATGTCATTTAGAAATGGTCAAATGTGACATATAATGTATTACTGTTCCTTAGTACAGTACAGTCTAGTTCACTCTTCAAAAAACATTACTATTCAAAGGCCTAACAAAGATATTAATCAATATTATTCAAAGGCCTAATAATCATACTAATCTACACTCTTCAAAATAAGAAACGCACAAGCGTTTTCAGAAATTCATTTCGATATATTTTGACAACAATCGTCTTTAAGACAATTTCTATGTTTGAATCCCGTTAATCATGTCGTGGTTGTTGTGTATTGCGCTCAAACGCATCCCAAAATGTCGACAGGAGGACAAATTTGGTGGCGAAGCCTCATGGGGGGAGCCATGTCCTACACGGGTATATCGGAGCTAGTGGCTGTTCAAGGCAATCTTAGAGCAAATCGCTACATCGACCAAATCCCGCGACTTCACCTCATCCCACTTTTTAACCGCCAGAGGCAGTTGTTTCAACACGACAGCGCTCGACCCCAAACCCCCACAGCGCATGTAACATATGCCTATCTCGCCAATGCAAATGTCAATGTCCTTCCCTTGTCTTCCTAATCGCCTTATCTGAACCCGATCGAGCATCTATGGGACGAACTTGATCGACGCGTCTGTAAACGTCACCATCGTCCTCAGACACTTGCAGAACTCACCAACGCGTTGGAGGAGGAATTAGACAACAACTAAGGAATGACGGGGAATGGCAGATTATCTGATATCGAGTTATATTAATTACGTAATTCTCGAACTTTGGCGAGAGAATTGCATAATTAACATAACGAGGAAAAGATCTTGTAATCTTTGAAACGTCCATTAGTTATGAATAGGCTTGTGTTTTTACACGTGTCTTAGAGTTTATATCCACATAAGTGAGTGAGTGAATTTTAGTTTTACGTCGGTTTTAGCAATATTCCAGCAATATCACGGCGGGGGACACCAGACGGTTTCTACAGCAACAAGATCTAGAGCTACAGTGGTTGGCTGCAATTTACATGCATCTCCGTGTGGCTGAATAATTTAACATAGCAGTGTAATGTAGTGTCAAACAACATTGTAAATGTATTCGATTGTGTCTGGTATGATTCAGTATTAGTAAGTGAGTATAGTTTTACGCCGCTTTTAGTAATATTCCAGAAATATCACGGCGGGGGACACCAGAACTGGGCTTCATACATTGTACACATGTGGGGAATCGAACCCGGGCCTTCTGCGTGAAGAGCGGACGCTTTAACCACTAGGCTACCCCACCGCCCCCAGTATAAGTTTATAACATTTTGTTTTAAAATAATTAGTAGTCAGGAATATATTACTAATTAATGTGAGCAGTTGCTGTTATATTTAATATTGACATTGTATTGCTCTGCCGTTAAAAGTTGAATTGCCACTGTAATTACTTAATTATTTGATTTATAACCAAACTTAATTATATAAACATTGCAGAACACATTTGTGTTGTTTATTGTCTATTTGGGGTATATAATTTCTGGATAACTTTATGTTTCAGTGGGGTTGAAGCATTGTAAAATTATTGTCCTCGTGTGGGGGTACGTAAGTCCGAAAACATTCAAAGTGAACTTAAACATACCATTATTTGTAAGCGTAGAATATGTGTTATTTTAAATTATGGCTAAATTGTCTAACCTTGCTGACAGCTGAAGGGATGGTGTAAATCTAGCTAGGGTCCATGCAGGAAGCAAATGTACTGTAAGTCCCCATGGTCCCTAGTATGGTGATCTACCTTCAGTCGTTAGCAATCTACAGCCTGTTTTTATTTTGTATTGTCATTTATAGTTCCAATATTTTAGATTTAATTGCTAGTTTTAAATGGATATATGTGATACACTAGTAGTTTTACTGTTCTTCGTCAGCAGGTTTTTTAATTTCTAACTTTATTCATCTTTAATATAATTATAAAATGTTCTCGTCACGATATGGCTGAAATATTGCCGATGTGACGATAAATATTAACTCACTAACACATTATGTTTCAGTCGATACATAACAATACGTAAATGCAAATAATAGCTGTCAACGGTAAATAAAGAATGTGGTTTATCACAGCATAATCTGCACCCTTTATGTTTTGACCAAACATGTGTATATTTTTTCTCCATTGTTGTCCATAATAGATTAAAGTACATCATCACACTCGTATTCTCTTGGAAGAGGAAAACTATCGCTCTTTCTGAATACCCAATGTCATTTAGAAATGGTCAAATGTGACATATAATGTATTACTGTTCCTTAGTACAGTACAGTCTAGTTCACTCTTCAAAAAACATTACTATTCAAAGGCCTAACAAAGATATTAATCAATATTATTCAAAGGCCTAATAATCATACTAATCTACACTCTTCAAAATAAGAAACGCACAAGCGTTTTCAGAAATTCATTTCGATATATTTTGACAACAATCGTCTTTAAGACAATTTCTATGTTTGAATCCCGTTAATCATGTCGTGGTTGTTGTGTATTGCGCGCAAACGCATCAAAAATGTTTTGTAAACGTTTGTCGACAGGAGGACAAATTTGGTGGCGAAGCCTCATGGGAGGCCATGGGGTGAGCTATGTCCTACACGGGTATATCGGAGCTAATGGCTGTTCAAGGCAATCTTAGAGCAAATCGCTACGTCGACCAAATCCCGCGACTTCACCTCATCCCACTTTTTAACCGCCAGAAGCGACGACAGCGCCCGACCCCAAACCCCCATAGCTCATGTAACATATGCCTATCTCGCCAATGCACATGTCAATGTCCTTCCCTTGTCTTCCTAATCGCCTTATCTGAACCCGATCGAGCATCTATGGGACGAACTTGATCAACGCGTCTGTAAACGTCACCATCGTCCTCAGACACTTGCAGAACTCACCAACGCGTTGGAGGAGGAATTAGACAACAACTAAGGAATGACGGGGAATGGCAGATTATCTGATATCGAGTTATATTAATTACGTAATTCTCGAACTTTGGCGAGAGAATTGCATAATTAACATAACGAGGAAAAGATCTTGTAATCTTTGAAACGTCCATTAGTTATGAATAGGCTTGTGTTTTTACACGTGT